GATATCGCACTGATAAAACTCGCCACCTATCTTCATTTTTGTTTTATTTTTTATTTCGTTTTCTATTTCTTTCTCGGTGATATATCTAGTCTTCTCTTTTACTATCCACATATCTAGTGTCTGTTCTCGTTCTTTTTTTTCGCTCACTATATATGTACGTGTTTTCCATCATTTAAATATATAATAAAAGATCGTGTGCAAGTGCACACACACATATATATACGCAATTCTTTAAAAGCAAGAAACGAACTTAGCGTTTATCCAAAAGGACGAACGCTAACACCGTCTTATTCACTTTTTGAAGTACACATAACTTTCGGATTTAAATCCGAGGTTTCCACATTTATTCTATATGCTTATATCATTCATAGTCGTGTTAATCAAACAGCGGTGAATGCTTACGTTATTCTTTGTAAGCACTTTCGAGTGTTATAATAAAGAGAGCACACTCAAAAAAAAATGACCTTTTTTTCATATATATATTATGTGCCTGCTGACGAGATATTGAGAAAAAGTGAAAAGACGCGACTTGTCGAAAGAAGAAAAAAGTAGGCTTTTATTTGCATACATATGAAGGAGAATAAGAAGGGTGTGGGTGTGTGGGTGTGGGTGTGGGTGTGGATGTGTGGGTGTGGGTGTGGGTGTGTGGGTGTGGGTATGGGTGTGAGTGTGGGTTGTTCTTCTCCTCTTCACACACACCCACACCACACCCACACCACACCCACACCCCACACCCACACACACCCTCACACCCACACCCACACCCTAGCCACCACCCACACCCACACCCCACACCCACACCCACACACCCACACCCCACCCACACCCACACCCAGACCCACACCCACACCCACACCCAGCCACCCAAACCCACACCCACCCTGATATTGGTCCTGTGCTCATTGTAGAGGGTGTGGATGTGGTTATTACACTCAGCGAGACCCACACACCCACGCCCAAAAATCATTGCCAGTCTTCCAATTCGTTCAAAGACAATGTTTTTTTTTTCAGAAAATCGAATGAATATTCTATTTTTGGAGAGTCAAATCTTTTCTTGAAAATTATACAATCATTTGATGATTCATGATGATTTTCAACTTTTTGAACTTTTCTTAATCCGATTTTCTAGACGACAGAATTTATTTAAAATTTATAGAGTGATAACAAACAGAAAAATGTCAATCTTTTCGAAGAGTATAACATTATTAAAAATTTATCTCATTAAATGCTTCTTAAATAAGTTGATAAGCAAGTATATTCACATATAAATTGAATATTGAAATGTATCGATGCTATTTATGTGTATTGATGATGTATGATATTTTAACTAGGCAGTTTATTTGGTAGGAAGACAATTATCATTACATGTGCTCACTATTTTATCATTGTCTTTACCAATATATCTTTGTTCTTCCTTTGCATTTTATATAAGTATAATAAGAAAAATGTATATCAATATGCCTACATGTCTACGTAATCACATTGGATATCGAAATCTTTTTTATCACAGATAAAAACCTAACCAACGATCGGCTTTTGATCAAGGAAGGAAAAACTGAAGTTAGACTATTTTGATGAAGCTGACTATTTTTACTGAAAGAAAACAAGAGTAAGCACTTGACTTTCTTTTTCCACTTCAGTCATTTGCACATGCTTATTTGTTCATTCTTCCGATGAATGCTTTACTTCAAGAATACTTTACAAACAAAGAAAATTAATAATGAAATAAACGATTTTGTTTTTTTTTCTCAAGTTTTTTTACGGTCTATCTAAGAAACATTTTATTAAAATTGTTTTGAATTTGTTATTTTTTTTTTGTTAATTACTTCAATTGATGCGTTCATCTTTTTTTTTGTTGAGTTCTTATTTTGTTCAATCTAAATGCTTCTTATTTCTTCGAAGCCTTCATCAATAAAATAGCATTGAAAATTGTAAAGGTAGTCAACCACTAACCAGTTGTAAATCAGAAAGAATTTTATCTTATTATGTATGTATAATCTTCATTTATTACTGTGAACGAGGCGTATATATATATAAATATACATCAGTTCGGAACAAAAGGAATGTGCTAGAAACTCCCAAAGAAACCAGAACTCAAAAGAGAGTACCAGAGAGAACATCGAAGATTCACATAGAACGAAAATACTGGAACATACTGGAAACGAAAATATATATCTATTCATGCATAACAACAGAACGAAAGAGATGACGCAACCTAACAAAATGTAACTAATACTAGATTGATACTTATAATGAAAATAAAGCTTTAGAATCGAGCTTGATTTTCAAGAACTGTAACATTCTTTTTCAGATTAGAAATTTCTTATATCGCTAGTCAAGACTTTCAATGAACTTTTAGGCAAAAGAAACAATTATCTGCAAGGAATATAAATAAGAATGTTGACCAGGGCATCAGTATGCGCGAAATCGTCTTTGTTAAAACAGTCTCGATTTTTTATTTTTTTAATATTAGTATTCTGTCATAATGCATTAAAAAAGCTTTCAAGTGTATAACGGCAGAAAATATTCAAGTAGCAAAAAAAAATAATGCTCTTTAATGTCATCCAGAGTTTTTCAGTAAGAATACAAAAAGAAAAAAAAATGAAAGAGTATATTTCAATTGATATGTTAAGAATAGTTGTTTATTGTTTAAAACATGACAGGTAGTCTACTTAATATACAAAGCCAAGATTTATTCGTTTGAGATGTTTCTTCTCATTTTTTGATTATATCAAAGATAAAACTCAACTTTATTGCCTTTATTTCTGATAATTAATATGAATTCATCTAGAATAAACATTGAATCTTGGTTTGTTCCAATTGATATTCTAAATATTGTATGTAATAGTTTGATCATCGGACTTTCTTTAGTTTTTTTATTTGTTCTGATTCTTGATAAAATTTGTCATACAACTTCAATGATGTTAACTGGCAATACATGTTTAAGTGCATTGATGTGTGGATGTTGTATGTTGAGTATATGTTTAAATACATTGAAAAATGATCTTAAACAAATTCAATTTCAAGATTCATTATGTATTTTTCGAGCATATATTACTTATGTATCAGGTGCTCTATTCATGAATTCATTATTATTACAAGCTATTCATCGATATTTTACGGTTATTTATCGAACTCGTTTATATTTTCAATCAATTCGATGTCAATTTTTAATAATTTGTTTAACATGGATATTTGTTTTATTACATCCTATGCCAGTTGTATTCATTGGTGATATTCATTACGATGGTGACAATCAAATGTGTCAAATATATCTTAAATTTTCCTTTTCAACAATTTATATATCACTATGTAGCTATGGAATTCCTACTTCATTAATTATATTTATCTATTTTAAATTATTTCGATATGTTCATAAAATAAGTACTCGTGTTATACATGCAACTACATTATTTCGTGCAAAAAAAGAATTAAAAATGGTTCAATATATAGTTATATTAGTAGTTATATTAATTATACTTGGTTTTCCATATGTATTGTTTATATTAATATCATTTTTTACAAATTTACCAAAATATCATTATCGAATAGCTTATCTATTTATTCATGTATCTTTAGTATTTGTCTTAATAGCTTTATTTCAATTTTCTAAAACTCTAAAAGTAGCAACCATGAAAAGAATAAAGAAACGATTACATATAGTAGCAGTAATTACATGAATGAAAATAAGTCATACATAAACATATGAAAAAACTTATTTAATATTGTCTTGTACTTTTTGTTAAAAGAAAAAAAAACCTAATGTATTTATTAAAAATTTGAAAATAAAAATGATTGGATATTAAAAGAAGTATAATCATTTCGATATGAAAATAGATTGTTCTCAAGCACATAAATAATTAAAGTTATTTATTCTTCACTTGATAAGAAGTTTGGAAAGAAGCTAGACAGAATTCAATACTCTTCTACAAATTTGTCACAGTTGACATGGGGAATTCAGTTGAGTTTGGAATGCATGTTAATAATATGAATCATACGATAATTAATGTTTGTTTACTATTGTATTCAACTTTTGTAATTTTAGTGATTCTAAATGATTGATCGAACTTCTATGATTTATTTTGAACTATTTTAAAATATTTACATATAGAAAATTTTTATTTTTAATCATTCTTATTTAGTGAGTATTAGAATTTTATGAATTTTATTCATCTCCTTAGAATTAATCGATTGATGTTCATTGCTATGGAACATTTAATCAAGAAACACATTCTATGTCTGTTTTTTTTTAATTACATAAATTTTTTTTTTATGTGAATCTCTTATAAGAAAAAAAAAGGGCATTCTTAATTCTAAACTATAATCTTACATTGATAAACTTTCTCACAATAAGTCTATCGAATAGATAATCAACAATCCGTTTATAGTCAAATTATTACTCAATCAATCCAACATCAGATCGGCTGCTATTCTAAATAGCATCAATCATTCAATCTCCCCATATCACGAGCATCGAAAAAAAAACTATTTTATAAAAACAAATAGCTCAAATACTCTTGATTTCGTTTCAACCAATCCTTTAATATCCCCATGTCCCGCAGCTCGAAAAAAGCGTCTATTCTATAGAAACGAATAGCTCAAGTGCTCTCGATTTTGTTTCAACCAATCATTCAGTGTCCCCATATCCCGAGCACCGATATAGAAACTACAATATAAAGAAAATGATGAGTAAGATTTACTTTTAGAAGACAGCAATAGAAAGAAAAAAATTCTCTCAATTTTTGCCTTCCCCGCACCTTATTTTTCCTGAATTTTTGTTTTCTACATTCAACTGCAAATACCTTTGTTTTTTGTACACAAGTTTTCTGTATTTGTTTTCTTTTCTTTATTTGTTGCTGATGTTAATTAAAGAAAATGAACTTACGATTAATTTATTATGTAACATATAGTTCTTGCTACATTATTGTTTTCTTTGTGTTAAATTTAAAAACAAGAAAACAATATTTCTGCCATACATTGCAGACCCAGCAGATATGTACATTGTCGAAATTCCGTTTTACTAATTCAACATGTGATTCAAACAATCATTACTATTTCGATTTCAATAAAAGCATGAGCATACATTTAAATTGACATGAAAATACCGAACGAACAAATTTACTTCAGAGTATTGAATTTTTTTTTCTGTTCTCCTACTTCCGTTGAAACATTTTATGATTCCAGATGAGTATTAGAACAGTTTTGATGGAAGTATGAATCACAAGTAATTACTCAAAATTTCAATGCTGGGAAAAAGCCAACGGTAACTTTTAAATTATAAATGAAGAGAATTTTCGAATATTACACAAACACACACACATTTTTATTGAAATTAAGATGAATGAAGTCATTCCAATCGCTTCACTTTATGCTGATGAACATATTCCTGATGAACTATATGTACTCGTTCGAAATAATTTAATCGATCAACTTGATGCTCGCCTCTACAGTCTCACTAATCCAACCCAATATTTAACATCTGTCAGTTGGCATGGTAAAGAAAAGTTAAGTTTATTAATGGTAGCTGCTCTAAATGGATACGACGAAATAGTACGAATTCTACTCGCTCATTGTCAATCTCAACAGCACGTGGAGTTAGAAGGAAGAGTAGCTATCTCCGAGGAAGATATCATTGATGGCATGACAGCAATTCAATGTGCCTGCTATCGATCACATTTCATTGTAGCTAAAACATTAATTGAGATCGGCGGAGCAGATGTACATCATGATAATAAAAAATGGCCATGTTATCCATTACTCATTCAAGCTAGTGCAGAAAATCGTCTTGAAATAGTTCGTTTTCTCGTTGAAAATGGTTACTCTGACATTAATAAGACTCAGTCAAATGACCGACACCAATGCACAGCTCTAATATGGGCTGCTTACAAAGGCTATACAGCTTTGATCGAATATTTACTCGAAAAAGGTGCTAATGTTAACTATTCTTGTCAAAACGTTGACTCACATTTATCAACACCAATCACGTTTGCCGTTGCTCGAGGTAATATCGATGCAATAAAATTGTTATACAATGTGGGCGCAGATATAAGCACCTTGTTCATTAACCATACAAAGTTTCTCATGACTGCTGTGGAACATGAATATTTTGATGTGATCGATTTTCTATTCAAAAAATCAATAATTACTATCGATGACCTTGAGCTTGCTGCTTGTTCACTGGTTGCCGTTGACTCACCAATCGAAGACATGCATAAAGCTTCAAAATTCTTTACTATTGCTATGCAATACCGTGTGTCTAGTCAGACTCCAAAAAATTGTATAAAGCCAATGATTGCCTATGAATATCATCACGAATGTCAAACATGTGAAGAACTTGATGCTATTAAAGATGATCATGATCGAATGTGGATTGAAACAGCACTCATTCGAGAGCGTATTCTGCTTCCACGAAATGATAATACTTTGATGAGACCATTGCTAGATCGTGGAGATATATTAGTATCTCAAGGCGAGTTTGATAAGTGTCTGCATTTATGGATCCATGCGTTTTATCTCTATCAACACATGCAGATGGACACTTGTCTTCATCGATTTGTATGGATATTCTGCAAGATGATTACAGAAAATGAATCAATTCCTATTGATCGATTTATACAGACTTGTTATCTTATATTCGAACCATCTCAAAGTAAATCTTGTGACGATACTATTTATAATGCACTCTCTCTCGTTATAATTGCAACCAAGGTAAAATATTTTTCACTATCGAATAAATTTAAAATGCTTTTCATTTGTAAGATTCTTGAACAGCAGATCACGAAATACGAAGAACGAATTTTAATATTTCGTTGGGTTTCCAAGTTATGTCGTGAAAATCTAGTAATTAGCAATGGAAAAACTCTTCTTCATTTATGTGTAGATAATGAGACTAATAACCCATTGAACTGGCGTCGTATTGATACTTTACCTCATATTCGGTAAGGAAAATTTTTGCATTTAAGAACATGAAGTGGTTAGAACACGAGCATTTATACACATGCCTACACGCTAATATTCTATCAATTTTATTATCTCTTATAGCTGCACAAAGTATATTCTATAAACACAAACCAATGTATTAGTAAATTTATAATAAGCTTCAATACTAAATGATTATTCATTATTGTGATGATAACATAAATTAAAGAAAGAGAAAAACAGTTGGTTTTTTGCTATTTATTAGAAGAAAGAATATGCAAAGTCTCAAAAAACTTTATGGCAATTGGTAGAAAAAAATCTTCTACCTATCGATTGTTTATCGTTTGACATGAACTAAAGTTATTTCTCAAGTAAATAACTGATGTCATGCTATTGATAGTGATTGAGATAGATCATTCAATCTGCTAAATACTTTCACAAAAATTTCAATAATAAAATTCTTGGAAAGATTCAAAATTAATAAGAGTTCTTTTTTTTTTATTTTAAGGTTTCCAAATGTACCTACTCTTCAGTTGTTACTTACTTGCGGGCATCGTTGGCTAAATGTAGATGCTGTCGAACTTATAGATGGCTGTACAGCGCTGCATTTAGCATGTATACAATCCACAGAGCTAGCTATTATTAAGTGTCTTGTAAATGCTGGTGCTCATATTGACTGTGTAAATTATTATGGAGTTACTCCTAAAGATTGCTCAGATAACAAAACTACGAGAGCATTTCTCGACTCCAAAACATTTCCACATCGTCTGAAATGTCTATGTGCTCGTCTTATTGCTGACAAACGAATCAAAACCACTGAATATGATCTCTTAACATTACAATTAAACGAATTTGTCTTATTACACGACTGTCGAAAGGATAAATCCATTTGTTAGCATCATCATCGACATAGAGATTATCTAGATTGACTCTCTTGATAGAGAAGTAATTCAATGCTACCGACGAGTTTCGAAAACAGAACTCCTAAATCTATTTAGACTTGAGAGTGTGTATTTGGATTTTGATATACACCTCCGGAAAAAATATTTTCCGCCCGTATTTCAAATATATTGTTACTACAATAACATATTTTTTTAAACCAATTACATATTCTGAAAGCTCGCGGAGTTTTCTATAATCCTGTATATTTATGTTGTAGTTTGTACTTGGTCATTAGAAAAATAAATCGAGTACAAGGAAGGCACCTTCATGTCCAGATTTCGAAAAACAAAATTTTGTTACTATCATGAAAATTACCTAGGACAGTCAAAAAGTAGTGAGAGTGGTACTGTAATTCCTTATAAAAAGTTTTTAAGAAACTTTCTCTCTATATAGTCTGATAGAGAAAATAATGCTCTATATTTCTGTACTATTTGATCATAGTTCAACTAATATAATAATAATAATAAAATTTCGATAAGATCTATTTTTATATCATAGGGTGTGGGTGTGGGTGTCGATGTGGGTGTGAAATTAATACCAACATCCACACCCTCATTCGTAAAGTAAAATATGCAATATTTTTTCTAAATTTGTTATGCTTAATCTTGTTGGGCAAGGTGCATAAGCCATGGAATACAATGTATTTAATACTTTCTTGTTTTATATAATATGTTCATGGAAAATTCAATGGATCCTCCGTCGTAATGTTGAATAGTGAACATTTTTAGTTGCTTTGACACTACAGTGAACCTCTCGATTGTGAACACATTCGGGACTTTTTAAAAACGTTCCCTATACGAAGATACTCACATTAGAAAGCTAACCTATGATTCGCTGTGTAATGAAGAAAAACCTAGATAATATCTGATTCTTCATTAATTCTGAACAAACTTCCGATTATCGACCTTTATCTAAATCATTTTTCATTGAAATATTGTTTGGCTATGACACAAAGTTATCATATATATAATGCATTCATAGTGCATAAGAAACAAGTGATAGAGAATAGAAGAAGCTCAAAAAAGAAAAACATTGTACATGCGCTCGCATTAGAGATATTTTAATAGCAAGAGAGACTGCAAAAAGTGTTCACTATTTAGAATAGCGAAGCATTCAAAGATATTTCAATTAAAAACTGCTTCGTCAGATCTAAGGGTTCGTAATTAGAAAGTGTTCAGTAGTGAAGGTTTCAGTGTACTACAATAGTAATATATTAAATTCAAATCACTAGTTCTATTGAATAATTGGACAGATACAACAACGATAAATGATACAGATTATAGATATGTATACGATAAATCAAAAGGGTATTTGACAGATATGATTTAAATTTAAAATGTAAAATATCTTTGTAATTACACTTTAGACACTATTCTCTATAGACTACATTTCATTATTGATCTAAAATTATTCTTATTTTTATCAAGCAAATATCGTTACTTTCAATGCTACAAATGTCAACTTGAAATCTTTTACAGTAAAAAGCATTTTTTGGACGTATTTTTTTATGCATGTTTAATGGAATTAATTGTTTCTGAATAATTATAATGTAAAGATCTCTTTCTAGAGCAATATCCCTGTTCGAAACGAATTTGATTCATTGTCGGAAATAATTGATTGATTTAGAAAAAAAAAAGGATTTCTTCGTTACACATTATTGATGTCCACACAAAGATAGAGAGAAAACAAAAATAAAGAGGATAACTTCGATACATTCTCTCACTTAAATTCAGATCAAACAATTAATAGAGAAGATGACGTTAGATATCTTCTTTGCCAATTGTGCAATAAGAAGAAAAAAAGAGAAATAAGATGCGAATTTCGATGTTTTTTTTTTTTTTGTTGACGACGACAAGAAATGACTAAGATACGGACGAGACGAAAAATATATAGATAATGCACAAGCATAGTTTTCGTTTGATTCTGCTGAGAGTAGAGAAAATTTCAGGAAGAAAGTCTCCCAAAGCTAAAGAGAAACGACTTTTCGCATTAGATTTTTTTTTACAGTAAAATAATTTTATTCTCAGCTGGAACTTGGAAGCATTTTGTTATTAATTGAATTGGAATAGTATTTTCTTTGCTATTTTGTATCTTCATAAATTGATGCAAATAATTGAGATAAATGAGAAACAAGTTTATTTTTGCTATACACAATTGTTTATATCAATAATTTCAAAAGTAATGTTCTTTCAAAAGATTGTCTAATATTTTTGTCTATCTATATATTTTGACATTATGAGCTTTTACTCTTCCCAAATACACAGAAAAATGATGTAGAATACCATCTATACCATTTTCATTAATATCTAGTCTCAGTACGGTAAATTTCACAACCATTTCTAATGCTGTAGATGAAAACTTATTTTATAGTTTAGCTTTAATTCGTTTTAGTGTACTTCTCTTGAGGATGTGGATGTGTCTAAACTATTGGACAGACAGACTCATGCTACTTGCGATAATGAAAGTGCATTTTTGTATGAGAGAATATAGCTGGTTTCATTAGAGACCTACGGGACAAACTTTTCTGTGTTCCGAATTCCGTTTGCCCCGTCCGAAATTTTACTGAATAGTCCAGAAAAGTCCCGCTTGTCTCGTAAGCTGGAAAACATTTAAAGGATATAGTTTGTTAAAAACCAATACAAATTTTCTATACTGATAACAGAAACAATTTATTCACATCCATGATTAGGAGATGAATTAATTATGTTCTGATAGATTTTATTGTCTATACAATATCAATCAAGAAAAATGTTCACATGCAACTAAAATTTAACGTTTGCTATTTATCGAACAAAATATCTGAACTTTGAACATTTAAGGAAAATTGTCTACTCTCCCTTAGTCCAAGTTTAGAATGACAAAAAAAAAAAGATTAATTTGAGATATAACTATAATTTCAATACATTCTCATTTTCATTCATATATTGATTCATGTATAACAGTTTTTAAGGAATCTCACAGTATATTTTCCTGCATTTTCTGTTACACTAATTATTTAAACATGAAAATGTTTGCTAAAGATGTGAAATTCTAAATCTATAGCGACTTCAGATACACAAATTCAAAAATTTCGTGACAAACATTTTTTGAATTATTCTTAAAAGTCCTACAGGGCTCTAGATTTCATTTGACATAATTCATTCAGCTCACCAAAAGATTAAAAATTGCTAAGTGCTTGGAAAGAAAATTTTCAGGAAGAAAGCTATAACACAAAAAAAAATTCAGAGAGAGGAAATCCAACCTTCTCCTTCTCCTCTTTTGATCGTATACATTTCAACTTTGCAAATCACCTCCATATGATGTGAGATGCATCAATAACAAAGTCTCGTCTTTATATCACAATCACTCGTCAACACTCTTATTTATATGTATTTTCATATTCAATATTCAGATTATGAAATAATTATTAACATTGACTGACAAAATTCATTCTTCTATACGAGACATTTAGAAGTACTAGCAGCTGATACAAGGAACTCTCAGATATTGCAAGGTAGTATCATGTACTACAAGATATTAGGAACTACTTATCCTAAATTAAATGATATACTCTATAAACGTGTTTCTACGTATGACTTTTGCTCTCATTCTCAGTAAGAGAAATATTCTGTATTTTCATTTGAGTCTTCACTTTGAAGAACATCTTGCTTTATATAAGTAGAAAAATGAAAAACACTAAAAAAAAATATTCTTCTTTCAATTTCTCAAATTTTCTAATAAAACTTCTTTTTATTTGAGAAGAAAAAGTTATTCTATTTCTTTTGATCTCATTATCAAATGAATAAATTTATGACTTTAAATGAGTGGATACATATATTTAATTCATTTCATGATAATTTCTATTATAAAAATAATTCATTTTGCTTTTGACATTTTTTTTTTTCTTAGAATTATTTTACAAACAAATGAATCGAACGAAAAATATACAAACAGATGTCAAATATAAAATAATATTTAACTTTTAAAGAATCATTTCTATTTGACACGAAAGACATATTATTTATTTTATTAGATCTATAAAAGACAGCATTCATATTCATCGCTATATGAAATAATAAGAAAGAGAGAAAAAGGCGATATCACTCTTTTTACGTCTATTCATCGTTAATTTCGATTATACAAAAAAATGTTTCATGGTTTCTATTGACCAAATCGGTCAAATTGAATAAATCTATATAAACGAAGAAAAATCAAAAGGTGAAGTTAAACATGAAAGTTTTGTCGGTGGAGTTAAATGATTTACCTGATGCGATTCTTCTTCTTATTTTTAAAAAATTGGACAATGCTAAAGTACTGTACTCATTCATAGATGTTAATAAACGATTTAATAAACTTGTACATGATTCAATTTTTACAAATCGTTTAACAATGACAAGATGTTTTTTTTATGGTGGTCCATTTCCTCAATCAAATAATCCAATACTTGATCGATTTTGTTCACAAATTTTACCTTCGATTCATGATAAAATCAAATAGTTCAATGTTGAACCATCATCGATGGAACGTATTCTTCTTTGTACAAATTATCCCAATTTATATGAACTTGATTTATATAATATCGAGAAGGAAACTGCTGTACGTATCTTTACTAGTAAGATATTTTCCTTTGATTTTTTATTTTCTCAATCATTAATAGTTCAAAAATACAGACAAATAATTAAGATTATTCATTTGAAAAAGATTCTTCATACAATTAATTCTGTCATAGAACATTTTATTGCTATTAACAGTAAGACTAAAAATATCATCTAATATCAATATGTTAAGATAGAGAAACTAATATTTACTATAGAAAGTACGAGAAAGACTAAAATAGATTTAATAATTTGATCAATATTTAAATTATTTTCTCATTTATGTTATGTTTATGCTTACACACGACTCGTTTAATTCACATATTTCAGAATCAAATTTCATCGCTTGTTATCGATTTTTTTCAATATAAAAAGCCAACTTTAACAGAATATAGCAATGAAGATATGTTTGCATGCATTTTAAATATATTCTCTAAGTTACAATATCTCCAACTATTTTCTCTTCAACATTGTTAGAATTGCATGTCAGTTTGGAGTCTTTTATCGATTGTCTTTATTTATTTGATGGTCATTTCGATTCACTTCAAAGACTTTCTGTTAATATTAATCGCATTTTGTCTTCTGAGAGAATAATTGATAATAAAGTAAATGACACAACTTAATATCTAATATATTCAAATAAATTGATTTATTTATAATTTTTAGAAACAATTACCCAATCTAAAACTTTTTTCGCTTCGTTGTAAACGAGATACAGATAAATATAATGAATTGATTGCACCACTTCTACATCGAATGTCAAATCTCGAAGAACTTGACTTACATCTTGTAGTGTATTGTGAGAAAAGATTTATTGATGGTTATGATTTGAAATACAATACTATTAATAATTTATTATGACTAAATAAATTTATATTTAACATACGATCATGTCTGCCTCTAAACGATCAAATTTATTTATCTTCAAATGAAGATTGTCAACTTTCATTTAATGGTTTTAAAAATAATAAAATTATTTCATGCGTTGATTATTTCTCAAATCGCCAACAAGGTCAATGTCATATTTATTCATATTCATATCAAGCAACATGGTATGATTCTATTACAAATAATTTCCCAGATGGATTATTTAAATGTGTTCACAAAGTCTCATTATATGACGAACGTCCTTTCGAATATGAATTCTTTTTTAAAATTGCTAAATCTTTTCCATTTATGAGAAAATTAACTGTAAACAATGATAATCGACATTTATCAATCATGCAATATTCTTATCTTACTCATCTTGATCTAGATTTTGCTCATGAAGATTATGTCGAACAATTTCTACTGGATACAAAAACATGTTTACCAACAAGATTCAAACTAGAAGTCGACTATCAATCTATTGACAAGGTGACACACAATTTTACAAGAGATGCAACTCGAATCAATTGTACCAAATTGATTTTTTTATATGTACCTTCTGAAATTCCATTTCGACAACAGCTGAAAGACTATTTTCCTCATACGATAATTTATTCGTTATAATTAATGTAAATAAAACTGGTTAGAAGTCGATGGATTAATAGAGAATTAAAGATGTGAACAACAGAATAAAAGAGAAATGACTTGTTCTACATGTTATTTGAGAGAAAAAGACTTGGAGAATCTCAAAATGATGTCATATGAAAACGTATCTATTTAGAAATACAAAAGAAAAATTTCGAAGATTTTCATTATTATTTAGATACTTGTTTCCATGCTCTGCTCAATAGTTTAGATCTGTTTGTGGTGTTTCTATACCAATTACAGGTGTAAAAAGAGTTGGGGTGTGGTTATTGGTGAATATCAATGTGGGTGTAAGAGATGAAACCAATACACATACTAACGCTGTCATCCAGATTCACACGATCAGTCGCAGCTATATCCACTAAATTTAAATAAAATACGTTTTGTGGTAATGAGATGTTATACAAATTAAAACAATTTCTTCATCTGTTTATAAGCTTCAAGTCAGGAGAATATATTGAAATTTGTTTTGCTAGTTGCATTGTTTTTGAAGATTGTTCTATTTACAATGTTTTCGAAACTGTATATAAGGTTTTTTCAAAAAGAAATTGAAAATTTCTTTTTATTTCTTAACCAAAATGATTCTTTTCCTCCATATGCGCATAAAAGATGTTTTTCCAAATATTTGAAAAGATAAAATCATTATTTCGAATTCGATCGTGAATTAACGACTGCTATGTAAAGATTAAGAGATTGTAGATCAGAAACTAAAATTAAAATCGGTAACAAATAATCTGATTCAATTCGATTTCGAACTGAAATTTTGAAAACAATATTTGAAATAAATTGGGTTAAAACGATGATCGAATCCATATTAAAAGAAGATTTGTTTTTCTCTTAATTGAATACAATTCATAGTAAACTTCGAATTATCCATTTGAATTTACGATTTTATGTCAATGATTTCACATCATATTCTATTACATAAAATCCATATATGTAAATGATACTTCACAACTGAAACTAGACAGTTTATTAAACAAGTATTGGTTAAGAATATCAATGAATATGAGTTTTAAGATTTCGAGAGTTTATTTCAATTCCAAAAAATTTTCATTCAAGTGTTGAGGAACTATTTCAAAATGAAATATATCTCATGAATAGAACATAAAAAAAAGGAAAATTCGTTTTATCGTGATTGTTTCGTTTGTATGATAACGAGCATATTCGACATGTATGGTTATGCTTTATTTGGGCGATTTATACAAAAAAATGAGCAAAATTCATTCGTGAATCAACATATAAAAGGGTGTGGGTGTGTGTCATGAGAAGATATCCACACCCACACACCCAAACCCACCTTCACTCTCTCATGTTGTAAATAGAACGATTTTTCGAAGTAAGAGCAGTCTGGAATTTGATTGGATCTAAATAAAAGAGGATGATCTTATGGAAGAATAAAATTACACGTGGCAGTGGTTAGCCGTGAGTGGCACTCCTGAGGGGCGCTGACGAGCGACTAGCCGCTGCACTGGAAATTCTCTGAAGGAAGGTGTCAAGATGTTAGGATTCAACGGAGCAACGTCAACGGTCTAGATCCGATGGGTTTCAACAGGAATCAGAAGTGGCAAATAACTGGGAAATATTTTGAAGTTAAATATGAAAACAGCTTTTCTGTACGGGCACAATATCTGAATAACACATTGGATGGAAAGCATTACTCAAAGAATTTATATTCATTCTATCGGAAGCAAAATTGAATGAAATAAAATGAGTTTTTCTGTTGGTATGTGTACTTGTTGGTTTAGAAACTGTAATTTCTTAACTATATTGTCAGCTAATACAGTACATGTTGGTTTTAGATTGTGTCTACACGTATGAAACAGAAGAAAATGATAATGAATAGTGCGACTTTTTCCGATTCCATAAAAATAGTTATGAATTAAGTGATCTTTTTGTCGTTGCCACGGAGTATTTTTGGCTATTCATGAAAGAAATGTAAAAGATAGGAGGGAATATGCTACCAAAATTGGTCCTATTTGAAAATTATAAGAAAATTCCGCTAATTTGTGCCTGTTTTCTCTGTTATTCGAACAGAGACCGGAGCCATTTTTTGTGCATAGATAGCTCTTAGTATGCCTTCAAAAATTGCAAAGACGCGCAGATTGAAAATGCTTTGACAACATCTTATAAATCTCCAAGAGACCGAAGTGATACTCACCTTGAAATCCTATATGTTTGGTATAGAGATACCATTGTAGTTTTATTAAGAGGTGCTGCCCAAGCATTTGAAATCTCCGTATCTTTGTAGCTTTTAAAGGATAATAAAAGCCATCTATGTACAAAAAATGGCTCCGGTATCTGTTCGAATAATGGAGAAAGGGGACAAAAATGATCTGGGTTTTCGTGTAATTTTCAAATAGGACTGATTTTGCGAGCGTATCTACCTCCGTTTCTTCGTATGATTAAATCTATGATCTGAAGCAATGTATGCATAGATAGACGAGAATCTTAAACTGGGATGTCGCAATAAATTGTAATGTATTATTATTATTATGAAAAAGCCATCTTTTTAACCTTGTATATGTTTTCAGGAGTTCTGACTCGTGGAATTTCTAGCTGCTATAACTCGAAGAAAGTAATATAAAAAGATATGTGTAGATGAGGTCATATCTTTTACGTTAAATAGACAATAAACAACTATTGATTAAGGACTCCCTCCCTCAAAAAAGTTAGTTTTTGTCAGAATGGTCAAGATTGAGATAAATGCATGGAAAGATCGTCTATCATTTGTTCTTTCATAAACGATAAAAACTTTGCTTCGATACCTCCTTTTTTCCGAAAAATTTTCAAAATTTTTGACAACCCTATTCGAAAAACCGCTGGTTTTTCCAAAAAATCTAAAAGTCTTTTTCGTTTTTTCTCAAAATGGTGGTCGAACGACGCATCTCCACCGAAAGTCAACTATAACCCGATATAAAATCAAAAATTTTTTTTTTATTTGAAAGAGCATCAAAAAGGGCAGTGCCTACGAGAGTCCTTTTTTTAATAAAACTTTATTATTATTATATTGATAAGCAACTTTATAATATGAGCGCCATTTTTTGAGAGGTCTTTCAGTGATTGAACTTGTAGGTCTTTTTTCCTCGAGAAGGATAAGAGTAAAAAAAAGAGCCCTCATAGGCACTGCATTCGGACATGCTCTTTCAAACAAAAATAACAATCAAGCATGTTGAATGAGTATCCACAGAGAATTTTTGGAGACGCGATAAGCTATTCTGCGACCACTGTTTGGTTTGTATCTCACTTCTACATCAGGATAGGAGGCTGAAAATTTTACCACAGACGTCCTTTTACAGCCCCAACATATTCTCAAAGTTGCATGACATTTGGATGTCCCTGGGATGAGATCGATTTTTGAGGGAGAGGCCCCCTTAAGTGTAGTGATGT